ATGCATGAAAAAACATACCCTACTGTGCTGCTGTAGGTTCCCTTATGCACCTCACTGTTGGAATGTGCCCAGACATTGCATTTGCTGTCTCTACAGTTGCACAGTTCAATAATGCACCCAACATGACCCACTGGGAAGCTGTAAAACAAATCTACAGGTACATCGCAGGCACAAAAGCACTCACTTTGATGTTCAGAAATACAGAACGAGGCCTCAAGGGCTATAGCAATGCAGATGGAGCTTCGCAGGAGCATTGACATGCTATAAGGGGATATGCCTATATACTGGATGGAGGAGCTATCAGTTGGGCTTCACAGAAACAAGAACTTGTAACACTCTCAACTGCTGAAGCAGAGTATGTCACAGCAACTCATGCAGCCAAGGAGGGCTTGTGGCTTCAATGACTCATCAGGGAAGTTTTCCAACCACTCAAACATCCTATCCCACTGAATTCCAACAGCCAATCTGCCATCACACTCACAAAGGATGGCAGCTACCATGCTTGCACCAAGCACATTGATATATGATACCATTTCATTCGTTTCACTGTGGAAAACCATTCCTTTCATTTAATTTATTGTCCTACTGATGACATGGTTGCTGCTACCCTTACCAAACCTTTACCTAGCATCAAGGTGAAACACTTTGCATCTGCACTTGGACTCTGTTCTGATTGAGGGGGAGTGTTGAGAATGCATTTCAGAATTACAGTAGCCTCTCAGAGTTTTACCCAGAGGGCTCAGAATTTCTCCCCAACCCTTGGAATTAAATTCTGATGTCACTACACTTACTAATTATGGTACTATAAATTTTCTGCACTGTTCTTTTCCACCTCAATGACTTCTTCATACACTGAGGTGAGCATACCTATACTTACATTCATTTACCTGGTACTGATGTAGTGTAGATACTCATAACTTCATTAGAACCTACATTTGTTTGGGAATACCTGGTGAGTGGATGTGCCAAAGTGCTGTCATGGAAGCAATGTCCCATGCTCTGTATATTGCATCAGTGCTATTAGTATCAGCACTGTAAACTTCTTACATGACACCATGGTTAAGGTATGAAACAATGAGCCTCTTGCCTCTTTCATAGAAGTGAATTGATCAGGGACAAATTTGACAATCACCACCATCAATTTGAGGTTTATATTGAGGATGCAGAAGTTTAGTTGTTGTGGTGTAACTTGCTGGAGAACAATGCAAGTCTGTAATCCCAAACCTAATGATAGCCAGTGGAGTCTTATGAAGACATTCATCCTGAGTGATGTGAGCCTCATTCCCAACACCAATTGCCAACAGCCCCATATTTGGCTCCAAGTCCAAGCAGAAAATTGGCATACCCTTCACACTGAGTCAGATCTCCCTCCCTGCAAAACCAGTCTTTGGTATGCAGTGTGCATTAGAATGGGATACAATGATATTAATCAAGTAATCTCACTTACTGGTGAGAAATCACTGAGATAGAACACAGTGCTGTCTTCGCAACCACAGATTAGAGTATTCTTTTTGACAGAATGCCAAAGCAACATGTTGATTTGACTGTCAAAAACAACACAAAAGATGAATTTACCACTGGAGACCTTCCAGATGCAGATTGACTGGTCTGAAGAACCTGATGCAAGGTATGTTCCACATGGACTAAAGGAGAGGGTGTTGACAGAATTGGTGTGCTCATTGAATAGAGTCTTGTGTACCATGTAGGTGGACATGATGTTGGAGGAAAGTGGCTCAGTCAGGTACCACATGGTGCACCTGGTTTTGTTGTATACCAATGCAACAAAGCATGCTTTCTATGAATACATTGGGTAGGGTGAACCCAATTGATTGGGCTGTAATGCATGCAGTAGACAAGAAAGCACACTTTGGTTCACAGGTATCTGGTAGGTCTCTGCCCATGACAATGACCAGTTCAACCCAGGTTCCAAGACAAAGGTTTGCAGTCACACAATATGCACCTCATTTGCAATATTCCTGACACTATTCAGCCTTGAAAGTGCAAGCAAGCAAAAATCTCAATTCCTCATGTTCTGGCGATATAAAGAGCCACCTGGCAGTGCACCCTCGCACAGAATATCCCCCCCCCACCACCATCCATCCATTTTTTCATCTGTCTCCTAGTATTTATTCTGCATCTACCTGCTAGCTTTCCAGAAAAGCTATGTTTGAGCCACACAAACTGCTTACTCTTTGACTCTGGAATACTCCTCAACCTGGTGTTCACCTGGAGTGTGATGTATGATTCCCACATACTGGCTCACAAAGTGACCCTCATAGCTACTTTCAGGACATACTGATCATGTGTCAAGCATTCACATAATGTACCTACATTGTACCATATGACAGGGCCAGTGGAGGTTGAGCCCTACATTGAGTCATCCCCCTGCAGTATGGACCAGCTCAGCTTCTATTATCAAATAACACATGAGTAGGCCACAATCAAATTGTCCCTGTAGTACCTGGAGTAGCCTAGTGTGAGATGTCACCTATCCAGTGGCATGCTGCAGCATGTGTAGATCAGCACTGGAAGTTGGCACAAGACCTCAGCATGCTTCAGGGTAGCTCAGCAGTGTAGTGTTGTATGTATGGCACATGTAAATTGGCACCATATGGCAATCTGGGGCACATATGACAGAGCATACCATAGCATTTCAGAGCACTCCAGAGCATGCCATGGCCCTCCAGAGCACACTGCAGCACATGTGCTGGAGCAAACCATAGCATTCCAGAGCACTCTGGAGCATGCCATGGCCCTCTGGGGTCAGCTGTGGCATATGTTCTGAAGTGAACTGTGGCATGCCAGCCACTCCAAAGCAAATGCCAGAGCAAACTGTGGCACATGGGCCAGAGCATGCCATGGCCCTCCAGGGTAAGCTGTGGCATATGTTCTGAAGCAAACTGCAGCAAGCCAGCTGCTCCAGAGCAAATTCTGGAGTAAACTGTGGCACATGTGCTGGAGCATACCATAGCATCTCAGAGCACTCAGGAGCATACCATGGCCCTCTGGGGTCAGCTGTGGCATATGTTCTGAAGTGAACTGTGGCAAGCCAGCCACTCTGGAGCAAATGCCAGAGCATGCCATTGTCCTCTGGGGTAAGCTGTGGCATGCCAGCCACTCTGGAGAAAATTCCAGAGCACACTGCAGCACATGTGCCAGAGCATACCATAGCATTCCAGAGCACTCCAGAGCAGGCCATGGCTCTCTGGGGTAAGCTTCAGCATATGTTCCGAAGCAAACTGCAGCATGCTGGCCACTCCAGAGCAAATTTTGGAGTAAACTGTGGCACACCTGCCAGAGCATGCCAGCCACTCCAGAGTGAATTCCAGAGTAAACTGCAGCACATGTGCTGGAGCATGCCATGGCCCTCCAGAGCACACTGTGGCACATGCACCAGAGCATACCATAGCATTCCAGAGCACTCTGGAGCAGGCCATTGCCCTCCAGAATAAGCTGCAGCTTATGTTCCAAACCAAACTGTGGCATGGAAGACACTCTGGAGCAAATTCTGGAGCAAACTGTGGTACATATGCCTGAGCATACCCATAGCATTTTGGAGCACTCTGGAGTAAACTGCAGCACTGACATACATTGGCCACCCTTTGGCAGTGACCCCTATACATTTGCCAGCCTTGGCACAGCCCCTATCTCATTGGCCTCCATCAGCCATCCTTCAGCAGTGACCCCTATACATCAGCCAGGTCTTGACAGTGCCAAGCCATGTCACACCATGGCAAGCTCTAGTGTCAGCTCTGAGTGCCATTCACGGTGCTGCATAGCCATATAGTACTCTGAAACACTACAGGTTGTCTGCAGAATGGCAGAACAGGATGGACACTTGGTAATGAAACTACAGGCACTGAATGATATAGGAAACAATGCTAGTGGCATGGTGCACTGCCAAAATGTTGGTATGGTTGTGGTAATGAAACATGTAGACACCACTAAGAGCATACTGCAATACTAGTAAAATAGCAGACACTAATAAATTGTTGGTAATCAACTAGTGGACCCTGCTACACTTTTGGTAATAGAAAGGGTGCACACTGGTAATCAAACTGTGGACAGTGCAGCATGCTCTGGCACATGTGCTGCAGTTTGCTCTGGAGTGTCAGCATGGTACAGAATGCTCCCAAACATATGCTGCAGTTCACTCCAGAGGGCCATGGCCTGCTCCAGAGTACTCCAGAATGCTATGGTATTATCTGGCACATGTGCTACAGTTTGCTCTCAAATTTGCTCCAGAGTGTCTGCCATGCCACACTTTGGTTCAGAACATATGCCAAAGCTTACCCCAGAGGGCCATGGCCTGCTCCAGAGTGCTCTAGAATGTGATGGTATCCTCTGGCACATGTGATCTGGGTGAACCAGAGGACTGGAAGGAGGGATCTGTTCCAGTTGTGCATATTGTTTGAGCCAGGGACAGCTCAAAAGGTGGCTCATGTAATGGGGATGATGGTGCATCTGGTAGGTCATCTTCAGTAAACATTTCCTCATCCTCATCAAGAGATGCAAGCTGCTGCATATCATGGCATGACAGAATTACTGCACACAGTCATTAGAAGTAATGGTCCTTGGACTGGTTGACTTACAGAGTTTATCTGGACTGCCAGAACTGAATCTAACATTTCTGGGAGCCATATGAAAGTTCAAAACATTGTAGGTGCCATGGGGATTACACTGATGTTTGAGAATGATTTTGGTACCAGTGATAAGATTGTATTACACAATATTTTTTCACCAGTTGTCATGCAGGATGTGCAAGTGCATTCATAATGGAAATGGGCACTTAGTGGAATGACTGTCAACTGCCATACATTACTCCCACCAAAATATGTTCAATGGTTAAACCAGTACATTGACTATTGTAAATCACAGCATCACTGGAGTGAGCATTTGTATTGTGCTTATGTAAACCTGTTGAATGGTGCATGCTAGCCAGTGAATTCACCACACTGCTCAAGCACCCACCACCTGCATACCTAAGCTTTAACAGCACTATGTCTACTGCCAACACCAGCACCTTCATCCCAGCACAATCACCCAACAACATCCAGATGGTCATCACCACTGAAAATGCCAAGTGGATGGTTGAGGAGGCTGCCAGGGTTACAATGCAGGCACTGAGAGGACTTTGGGGCCAGGATGCTAAGCACTGGGGCAAAGTGGCTCAGCTTGTGTGGGCCCAGCTGGTAAGTGAAATCACAGCCATGATATCCATTCCTGACATCTATGTAGGGAATGGTCTGCACAGTTGTTGAACATCTACCCCTGGCATTTGAGATCCCTCTGCATCTTATTGCTATTGATATGCACATGGTTGACCTGGCAACAATCTTTGCCATGCAGACATGGCTGCCTTTCAACCAGATCCTGAAGTGGCTCAAGACAGGAGTCCACTGAACCCCCCCTGGCTTCATTCAAGGGAGGTGCTGGCTTGGAAGTACCTCCTTCAAACGTTGAACCTGTGCATGGACCTGCTAGGGGTCTGGCAATCTCTATTACTCCACCATCACCAGCAGTCAGATCAGCACCTGGACAGGAAGGTAGGATGGAAGTTGACTAACATCAATGTACTTGTCATTTTGCAATCCATTTGTGTTTTTTTGTCTTTATACTTGTACTTTGTTAGATGCAGCAATATATTCTATATTGTCAAAATGTGATCTCCAGGAAGAAGTAGCTACCCCTGCTGGTAGTTGTTACTGTATGATTCAGATACTGGAAAACCAATCTGGTATGGTGATGTGTACCAAGGCTGTGGTGTTACAAGCACTAAGGGCCAATGGAGTCATGGTTCACCTAGATGATTGAATGATGACTGGCTGGCATAACTCAATTGTTTTTGCTGTATAGCATGATGGTGACTTTCATGGTATTGTTCTGGCTTGCTGAGGCTGTAGGGCATTGAATTCACAGTTTAAATGTACTAGGTAGTTGGCTAGTCTTCTGGTCATTACCAGAGCCACCATTGTGGTAATACATGCATCTCTGGCATGGTACTGGTACCAGTACATACATACACTGTGGACCTGCTCCCAGGAGGTCAGGCAGGTCAGGCATGGTATGGTATAATTTCTGGGCAGGCCTCCATGGCATTGGCACTGGGATGGTGTTCATGGCATTGCCAGGACAGCTTGACTGATGGCCTCATGGCATTGGGGATGTGCCAGAACTCATTACAATGGTGCTGTGACAGCCTGAATGATGGCCTCATGGCATTGGGGATGTGCCAGAACATATGGCATAGGTGTTGGGATGGCTTCCATGGCATTGGTGTTGTGCCAGAACACATTACAATGGTGCTGGGATGGCTTGCATGATGGACTCATGGCATTGGGGATATGCCAGAATACATGGAACCAGTGCCAGGGTGGCTTCCATGACATTGGTGTTGTGCTGGAACACATTACAATGGTGCCAGAATGGCCTGCATAATGGCCTCATGGCATTGGAGATGTGCTGGCACTCATTACAAAGGTGCCAGGATGGCCTGCATGATGGACCTGTGGCATTGGGGATATGCCAGAATACATGGAACTGGTGCCAGGCTGGCCTCCATGGCATTGGTCCAGTGCCGGTACACATTACAATGGTGCCAGAATGGCCTGCATGATAGGCCTCATGGTATTGAGGATGTGCTGGAACACATGGCATAGGTTCCAGGATGGCTTCCATGGCATTGGTGTTGTGCTGGAACACATTCTAATGGTGCTGGGATGGCCTGCATGATGGCCCCATGGCATTGGGGATGTGCTGGAACACATGGACCTGGGGCTGGTGCCAGCTCACAATACATCAGTGCCAGGACAGCTTCCATGATGGCCCCATGGCAGTGGCAATGTGCTGGAGCATGTGGCATTGGTGCCAGCATGGCTTCCATGGCATTAGTCTTGGGTTGGTGTTGGCCTGGCCCACATTGCATTGGTGCTGGGATGCCTTGAATGGCATTGGTATTGGGTCTGCCCATGTGGAATTGATGCCAGGACAGCCAGCATGGCATTGGTGTTGTGCCAGCCTGCATGGCATTGGTATTGGGCCTGTTCACATTGCATTGGTGTTGGCCCAGCTCACATGGCATTCATCCCAGGATGGCCTGCATGGCATTGGTGGTGGGCCAGCCCACATGGCAGTGTTGCTGAGATGGCTAGCATGGCATTGGTGTTGGGCCAGCTTGCATGACAGTGTTGCCAGGGGTGAACTCTGTTGGTGCACAGTGTGCCATCCTGTTTACACTGAGTTGATTAGGTAATATGTTAGGTACTTAGCTTACACTTTGTCTTACCTTACACCTCAGACTTTGTCATTTCAAGTCTGAGGTACAGTGTCTTTTCACCACTACAGTATACTTTTCTTTACTCACTACCTACACAGTTTTGTGTCTAGGCTAACTTGAGTAGCCTTCTGCTCTCCCCCTACCCACAAAAGGTTATGAGCCCTGAGCTCAAAGCACTCTAGTTATACAGCTTTTTGACCTACAAACTCTACTTACAAGTCTCAAGCATCTATGGGAATGAGTAGCTCTATTTCTGCACCACCCTCTGCCTCGTCACTAGGTCCCTTGCAGCCAAAGTCATCCTTGCAAACACTCTCCTCAGCCTCTACCAAGTCTAGAAACCCCTCCAGTCGACTCTATGATGTTCCATCACTAGAAAATGATGGCTCTAACTTCCACACCTGGAAATACAGAGTTTGGATGGTACTCAACATCTGTGGCCTCAAAGAAGTTGTCAACAGAAACTCTACAACTGCTCCTGACCCTAAAAACAGCCCTGATGGTCATGCAGACTGGGAAGAAAAGGACCAAGAAGCACATGCCCAAATTACACTCATACTGAAGGATGAACCTCTCAGTGGAGTACTCTATGCCTCAACAGCACATGAGATCTGGAAGCAACTTCACAAGTGATATGAAGGACATGGAAAACAGACAATAGCCTACCTAATTGGCAAGCTCTTTCATGGAACTCTAACAGATGAAACCTCTATGCAAAGTCAGCTCATCTCCATGCAGCAGAAAGCACAAGTGATTAAGTCACTCAGCCAACCACTTGACAAATCTCTAGTAGCCATAGCCATGGTAATCTCCCTGCCACCCTCCTATTCAACCCTATGAATGATCCTCATGTCATCAGACAACAAGCTATCTGTTGAAACAGTCATATCACAGGTCTTAGTCAAGGAAAAGTTGTGCCAGGTTTCTGAAGCCCATAGTGCACTCATGGCTAACACAACTTCTCATCAGAAAGGAAAGGTGAAGAATGATGAGAAAAAGAAAGGGAAATGTACTTACTGCAAATATCACAGGCATGATGAGTCTGAATGTCAAAAGAAAAAGGCTGATGGAACTAAAAGCAATGTGTCAGAAGAAAAAGGCAAAAAGATGGAGGAGCATACAGCCAACTTTGCAAGCTTAACCTCCAGTGACAACAAACCTCTTTGCCTCTTTTTTGCACAGCAACAAGACAGTTTCTTGCAATCACACTAGTCCTTGACTCTGGTGCATCTGTGAACATCTGTTATCAAAAAGAATGGTTCTCACACCTCAAACCTCTCTCACCTGCTCAAGAGATAATCACTGCAAATGGAAACATGGTCCTAGCTACCACAGTTGGGCAAATCACTCTCAGAATGGATCTCAGCACTGCTAAACCCTCCTGCATGCTACTCCGATCAGTATACTTTGTCCCTGAGGTGCACACAAACCTTCTTTCAGTTACCTACCTATCCAGTCAATGAGTCCATGTCGCTTCTCTCAAAACATCTGCTCCCTGGTCGCTGATGGCCAAGCAATCAGATATGGTCAGGTACAAGGTTCACTCTATCTACTCATGGCAGAAACATACCTGCTCAGTGGGTGCACACCCATCCTTCACACTCCTTTACCACTGTATGGCACTCCACACAGCTGGTCCACAGATCCAGCACTCAAGTGTGACCCTGGACACCCCAGCTGGTTCCATGGGCTCCCCTCCTCACCTGCACAAACATCAAGTGCTGGAAGTTATGTCAGTACAGGCTTGCAAGGAAGTATGGACTTCATGAGACTCACCACAGGCTGTGTGCATGGTGCACAAACATCCTCTGCTCCAGAGGATCCACACCATAGCCCAGTTCCTTTGAACACATGTGTTTCGAGTCCATGCATGCCCCATTCAACCCATCTAAATCAAGATACAAGCTTGAAGATACCCATTCCACCTGGAAACAACATTACAACTGAACTATGCATGGCTAATGATCGTGCAAGAAGTGCTGCACACACTACAAGTTGCCCTTCCTTACATCCACATGCTTCACACAACATACACAAAGTCCCAGCCAACAGAGAAACATTAGTACCCTGCACCTACTCACTACACAGCAGAAAATGGACCAACGTACCTGATAGTCATGGCTGCAACCCACATACAACTTTGTTTACATGTGCACACCTGGGATCAATAGAAAAACATGCAGGGAATTCATGCCCACACTCCCTACCTGGGGGGTTGGGTACAGCATCCCTCTGAGGTGTAAATATGGCTCCAAACAGGTTGGGAACACTTGCTTCCCCTGTTAATGTGCCCATTCAAGCCCAACGAACCAAAATCAAGTCACAAAACATACCTGGACGCCCTCCAAGCACAAGCGCTGAAAGTACGACCCCAAGGCCTGAAGATAGAGGTGCTGATCTTGGAGATCAGCTGCTATTCTTGAAGTGGCCATCAGAGAAGGTCCTAGGGGGTGCAAATGAGACACTGCAGGTCCCAGATCATGCACTGTCACTGCACAACAATCAGGACTGGTATGCACTCAAGAACAACCCACTTACCTTTGAAACAGCTCCTACAACACTCCAAATGGCTCTCAAGCACTCTCTAGGTCCCCCAGATTGAGACTTGAGGTATGACAGTTGCCTACGACCCATAGTGCCTTCACATTCAGTGCCTGAGACTCAAGACGAGTTCAGACAGCTCTGTTCCACACCCAAATGGCCAGATCTTGACGATTTCCACCATATTCTTGAAGAAAACAGTGGCAAAATGAACCTGCTGGTGAGGTTTAGTAGTGGTTTGGTCAAGAGAGGAAGTGCACACAAAACAAGAGGTGTGGAAGGTGCAACACTGACTCTGCAGTGTGGTTGCCCAGCCCTGTCACACAACTGTGACACTGTCACAACTTGCCACAATGTGTCAACACATCTCGATGGCTGTGAGGCATTGTTCACCCTCCAAAGTCAAAGTTGAAGTTATCAACTTCAACTTCAGCAATGTAGTCACATGATGATTATATAAGCTGTGCATGCCCATGTGAATGCAAAGTCCAAGTTTTGGGCTTCTGCTTCAGTAATGTAGTCATGTGATGATTATATAAGACAACAACACAACTTGTAGTTCAATAGATAACAGATCAAACAACTC